TAGTCTGCTGATGCAGTGAAGTCAGATAGCGAGAGGGTGAGAAGGAGATGGTGGACTGAGAAGAGGAAGAAGAAACACTCTCTCTCTCTCTCTCTCTCTCTTGTATACCAGGTACTAACCTGTGAAGATGGCGCTGTGCTGCAGGTACCTTGAAGACGAAGCCGGAGCAACGGCGCTGCAGGTGAGAACCCCTGGCCTCCGCCCAATCTCTCTCTCTCTAGTGCTACTCTAGCTATGGCGCCCAGCGCTGAAGACTAAGGCTAACGCTACTACTACTACTGCAGCACTCCTCCAGAGTGCTGCTGCCGAATCCTGAAGACTACTGACTGCCTCCTGTCTACCCCTGAAGTGCATGGGAAGTCCCTATGTACTATCTCGGCCTGCCTCCTGACTGCCTGCAGTTGCAGGGCGGCCAGTCCAGGAGGCTGCTCTTGCCAATGCCGAACTGAGTCAGGGGCTGGCGCTGCAGCTGTCGTCGGAACAGGCCAAAAATAGCCTGTTGCCTGAGTTTCGGGGCAGGTTGGTCTGATAAGGGCCCAAAAATGGCCCTCCGTTTCAGGCTAAAAAGGCTCATGCCGTTTTCAGTCTGAAACGACACAGGGCCTGTAGGCCCCTGTTTCCAGCTTTTCAAGCTGAACAGACACGGGGCCTGTAGGCCCTAAATTTCAGGCTCTCGGCCTGAAATTCAGGCTTTTAGCCTGAAAGACGCAGGGCCTGGAAAATGGCCCTCGTGTGCAGGCGCAGCATGTAACAGTAGGCCTGACTGTAGTCTTAGCTTTGAGTTGTGCCAGTCTCTCCATTGAAGTTGTGACCCCAAGACAGTCACTGCTTTACCACGCGCTAGCAGTTACGAGTCTTCCGACTGAATCTTTTCTTGATTCCGTGCGCTCTCTCTGGCTGGTGCTGGATGGCTACCTTTGCTTGCCGCCACTTGCATCTAATCCCTGGCTCCAAGAGCTCTTTGGTCGCCGCTTAGACCTTATCTTTCGGGTTTCTTGTCTTTTTTCTTTTTCTTGAAAAACCACACACACGCGCGGGTGCTCGGGTTTCTTGTCTTGTCCAATGTTATGTTGCAGCCTTCCTTCCATATCACCCATAATATTACATTTCTGATCTTACCGTACCAGTCCTTTGGGCTTTTTACATAATTGGTATGGAATGTTCGTCCATAGCAGGATCTGGGTCAGGCTGTTCCGGAAAGGGGATGGAGAAGAGACGAGACCACAGGCCACTCGCACGATCCCAGTATTCTGTTGCTTCTTTAACAGTCTTCTTTCTCTTGGTCTGAGAAGACAACACAAACCTCCGAGATGTTGGGATCTCTCCTTTCCCTCCTCTCGTTACCAGTGATTTACTGGAGGGCTGCATATGTTATCAGCCATTGAATGCTTCCGATTTGATCAGTCTTATCGTCCTGAATTTGCTCCAATTTATTTTTGCTGTTTGGTTGATTCCTGCTGCTCCTATTTTGGACCTTGTTGTCTGAATCATTGGAAGCGGGTCCTTCGTTTTGAGAAAGAGTTTATATCATGGTTGCCTCATACCGAAACACTGGACCAATCCAGACATCCTGCCACACGGAGGTCCGGTTCGATCCGGATGTTCGGTTATCAGGAGAAGAATCCGGACATTCGGACATCTGGATCCCGACGGTCCAGATCTCTGGAAATTTTCTTCCCAAAAACGAAAAGAAACACCCATGGCCTGGTGGCTCAGTGGTTAGAGCACAGCTTGAAGTGCGCATTGCGGTATGAGGTCGCGGGTTCAAAACTTTGCGGCCTCACGCCTATCCGCCTTTAGGCGCTTTCATAGCGCCCAGCCATTTGTACACCCCCCTTGGGCTGACGAATGGTACTTATTACAGACACTGCCTGCGCACCACCCAAGGGGTTAGGTCCATGATTGTGGTATGTTGGTAGCGGGCTTTGGGGAGAGGACTGTTTGAGTGGTTGGCCCTGAAGGTCTGATGAGTGTCGAGTGTCTGTGTGTGGGCTGTGTGTTCAGTATGGTCTGATGATCTCTAGGTATGTCTCGTGTACTCTTCTGGGCGGGGTTAGAGGGGATAGATGGGAGGTGGGATGATAAATAGATAAAGGGGGCGAAGGGATGTGTGGGTAGATAGGACTTTGTGTAGGGATTGTGGGCCTGTTTGTGTGCACCGCTTCGCTCGTATGGGCTGCTCTGTGGGTGTATCTGGGTGCGTCTGGGTACCATGGTTGTTTCCCGGCCTCATGATCCACACACGAGAGTCCAAACCCACGTCGTACAATCCTATGTTCCAGGTAGACCCCGCTCTCTACACCCCCTTGAGTAGTGGTAGTGGTTGGGTGCTAGGCAAATACGATTGCCACGGGTGGGTTTCAGGTTGATCTCATGATGTTTGTGGGTTGGGCTTCATCCGGGTTGGTGTCTGTCTAAGTTCCCACGGAGTGATCGACTGGGGCGTGAGTTTGGGGAAGGGCTTCTAGGTTCGGTGTCATCTTAGGTAGGGGGGGTAGGGCTGTCGCATTGATATCGAAAGGTGGCTTTGCCACCTGTAGAGTCTGCACGATGCGATACAGGGGGGGGGGTGACCGTGTATGTCCGTGACCCTTCCTGTATCAGGGCCGTCCTTGAGATTTGGGGTGTGTCCCTATAGTAGCGCCCGGGGGAAAGTGTCTACGACCCCTCGGAAGGCGCAGGTTGGTGTAGGTCTAGGTCTAGATAGAGAGGTCCGGGTCGCACCATTGTAAAAGTGAGCAGCCAGTAGGAGTAGCATCTGTTCCTACTGAGTTGTAGGGCTTAGACAAAGGTAAGGCGCCGACAATCCCTTCTGCAAGGAACATGAGTATGGACAAAGCACAGAAATCCAGAATGCAAAATCACACTGAAGTCCAAGTATTCAAAGCCAAAGCAGATAGCACATGGAACCGAGTAACCATCCCATTGAGAATGATACAGAAGAATCGTGAGTCAATGTCCATGCCCACCAGGGCAACAC